AATGATATAGCTATTTCAGAAGATAATCTTGTAATCTCTAAAAATGTTAGACAAAGGACCACATGATAAATTTCTAATCCCAGGTATACCTAAAAGGAATGAAAACATTGGTCCACATAAAAATTTGTACATCTTCATATTCATAACTAAATGTGGAAACAACCCAAGTATCTCTTCACTGATAAATGGGTGAAGTTCACAGCACCATACATCCAACCTCTTGGCAATAAACGGGAATCAAGTACTGAGGCATACTATTGCAAAGAATGTACCTTGAAAACATGCTATTTCTTTCACTTACATTGTTTATGACTCCCATTTATTTGAAATGTTCAAAATATGTAATTCTATACACACAAAGTAGATTAGTGTTTGCCTAATAGGAACATAGAGAGTTTGACTGGTCACTTGTAGGTTTCTTTTGGGGATAATGGGGAAAAATTTTAAGTTCTAGTTCTTACCCTACTTCCTAAATAGGCAAACCCCAAATTAGCTCATATTTCCTTAAGAAAACACAAAGATTTTACTTAGAAGATTTAGTAGCTGTGGAAAGCATAAGTAGTATTAGTACAGGAGTTATGTTCTACACAGGTAACACAAGTAGAGATAACATAGAGAAGGTCCTCTTGTGGACCAATTATGGAGATCATTAGCAGCTTACTTACCGAGCTTCAGTTTCTTAATCCAGTGGTCTCCAAAATAGGGGTGTAGAAGATAACCATTTATCACATGTACATAACAAAACTTCATTTTACTCTCCCCATCTCCCTTCTTTCTCTGCCCCAATATTTGGGGTATGTGTTCAGGTTTTTACTTATGGGATCAAAAATAGTTAGGAACTTCACTCCTAATAGAGGGTGCCAATAGTGCCTCGGCTTAAAAAAAAGCATTATGTATCTAAAGTATTTGCTGTCTGATCATACATAATAATTACAACTTTAGGTGAAACTTCTACTTTCCGGAAGGAAGGAATAAAGAAATTAAAAGTCTCAGTGTGCTGGATGCCATTTTAGTCATTTCTAACCTACATACGTTTCAGTGAGAGATAGTTGTTATACCCACTTTAGCTGAAAAGGAAATGAATCACTCAATCAGAACAGGGGTGGGGAGGAGGGAAGAGAGTGGATCTTAACTCCCTAAGACTACCTCAGGTATATAAGTAATTTTCCTTTAGATTGCTAGGGTAAACAAAACTCAGAAAAGGAATTCTTTTTTCTTAGAAATTTTGCTAATTGCTATTTTGTGCATTTCCTCTAAAATAAAAGATACTTTCTAAAGTTACATGGGAAGTACTGCTTCGGTGCCTTTCCAAAAATGTGAAACTTATTTTTTAAACTGGGAGAGTTACAGTATGTGCTCCAGAGGAAGGATAAAGATGGGAGCATGCTGGGTCACTGGCACTGCAATCAGTAGTTTCTGGGCTGAGTCATGGTCCCCTGCAACAAGTGGCTGAGACCAAATATAGACATACACAGGACTGCAGAGCAGGATAAAGGCCTTACCTCACTTTCTGTTAAACCTCCCACTCATGATGGGTGACAGTCAAGAACATGGTATCCTTCATACGTCGGAAGGGGTTTGACCCTGTACCACTAAAACATACAGTGCTGTAAACCAATGTTAGTTCAATATTTAAAAAAAAAAAATTCTTTAAGTACAATTTTATAACTGGCTTGCGTTTATCATGATTGTGGGACCTTTCCAATGGAAAGTTAGACTTAATGAGTACTTGTTAGTCTACTACTCAGCATTCTGCTGACCTGTGCTCATCTTATTTTTCTTTCTCCTTTAGTCTTTCCACTTACAGCCGACTGGCACTCCAGGCACTTACCTACTTCAAACCAGCTCCAGTCAAGGCCTCCCCCTAACTCTGACGGCCAGTCCCACAGTGACCCTGACAGCTGCTGCTCCTGCTTCTCCAGAACAGATCATCGTTCATGCTTTATCTGTATGTTATTTTCCATTCATTTTCTTGTTTCTGTGAAGAACACTGGCTGATTGGTGTATGTCATCAGAATACCAGGAGGGGTTTGCTGTTAGAATCCATGAACAAAAATGATAGAATCCATGGTACAGAAAATAAGAGCCCAAACTAATGTATATCTTTAAACAATTTTTCCAATGCTTTTGTCCCAGGAAGTGTTTCATACCGTCACTCAACCTTCACTGGGATAGGTCCTCTATCCCCTTTGTTCCTTACTGACATGGACTGACAGGGAGTAAGGACATCAAGAGAACCAAGGCTCTGGTGGGTAAAGAACAGGGGTTGTAGGAAAATAGTGTTAAGAATACTGCTGTTCCAAAGTGAAGAGGTATGAGAGGGAACAGGGCACCACTTTTAAATGTCATTTGTTGCATGCGACTTAAATCCAGTAGGTACTTTTTCATTTTGCCATTGATTGTCCTCTTTAATATTTTATAGCCAGAACATTTGTTGAACACAAGTGATAATGTCACGGTACAGTGTCATACCCCAAGAGTCATCATCCAGACTGTTGCCACAGAGGACATCACTTCTTCCATATCCCAAGCAGAACTGACAGTTGATGGTGATATTCACTCCTCTGATTTCCCTGAGCCTCCAGATGCACTAGAAGCAGACACTTTCCCAGATGAAATTCATCAGCCTAGGATGTCTGTAGAGCCCTCATTTAATGATGGTCATGTATCCAAATTCAGTGACCAAAACAGCACAGAATTGATGAATAATGTTATGGTCAGAACAGAAGAAGAAATTTCTGAAAGCGACCTTAAACAAGAAGTGGAATCACCCTCTCATTTAGCCCGTGCTTATGTTACAGAGGTAAACTGCACTTGAGAATGGCCTAAAGATTTCTTGCCTTAAGCTTCGAACCTACAGTTTGGAAAGAGCCTAGAAATAATTTATGATAGTGTATGTTCCTGCCTGCCTTTTTTCTTTTAGAGACCTAAAGTACAAACCCTACTTTTGGCCCACACAAAACCTAGCAAAGTTGCTTGGTTAAATCCAGCTCCTCACGAAAACTTTCATTCTCTACTCCAGTAGGTTGAGAAATGTTTGGTAGAACCAATGGAAGCATTTTTCTGAGGGTGGTTAGGAACAAATCATTGTGGTTCATTTTAAGAAACACACCTCATTCTACAGAAGTTTTCTTCTATATTTAGATAATCTATAACTGAATTGTTTTGTTTAGTTCCTGTGTGTTTCCTATGTGAGTATATGGTTACTACCTTTATCCACTTTTTAAGACCTTAACTTTCTTTATAATTTTTATATGAACTGTGTTTGGAAGTTAAGTCCTTTCAAACCTAAACATGCATGAGATCTTAAGGAAAGCTTATGGGGACTCTGAAATAAAAATCTCATTTCTTAATTTTTAGCATTTAGAGTCTCCTACCATAGAAGAACGGGTTGATCAAACAACAATTGATGATGAAACTATACTGATCGTTCCTTCACCACATGGCTTTATCCAGGCATCTGATGTTATAGATACTGTATCTGTCTTGCCTTTGACAACACTAACAGGTAGGTAATACAACACCATCGTGTGTCTGATAGATAGTAGGGGAAAATTAAGCAGCCAGACATTTAATTCAGTTGTTTCACCTTGTTACGTTTTACACTTTGGTAGGGGAATACTTATTCTTAAGTATTGACATGCTTAGAGAATATATATATTTAATATTAATTAAAAACTTAACTCATTACAGATCCCATACTCCAACATCATCAAGAAGAATCAAATATCATTGGTTCATCTTTGGGCAGTCCTGTTTCAGAAGACTCTAAGGATGTTGAGGATTTGGTAAACTGTAATTAGGTACTTACTAGAAACGGGTAGTTCTGGCAGAGAAACCACACTGTTAATTATATCTCCAAAGAAATAGGAGCAACCCCAAAAGGTTTAATTTACCATTCCTCTGGCTTTTAGATAGCTACAAAGCCACATACATCATTGCTGCTATGACTTTTTACCTCCTTAAATATATCATCTGAGGTCTAGTCTTATGACAGTGTATAGTTGAGTGTTAAAATTTGGGGTCTTACCTGCATAAATCCCTATGATTAGTGTTATTTGTCCACAGGAAATTTCATTTACTTCAGCTACTGAGAGAAGTTTAAAATCACCAAAGCTTAATTACTCTGCTCTAAAAGCAGTAGTATTTCATCTCTAAAGAACAGATATGGCTTTCTATTGAGTCTCAAGTAGACCTGTTTATATTTCAGAAAAGTCAGATCAACAATGGTCTTGTAGATTATCAGTCAGTAACCCTCTTTAAAGAGATTAAATACCATTAGCTTGGGATTTGACCATTTTAACAGTTCAGAGACCTAGCAGGTGATTGTGCGACAGTTCCTTTTGGTTTACCCATTGCTGGCAGTGGGTGCAGATTTAGCCTAGGTAGAAAGAAAGCATTAAAGGAGTTAAGAAAATTCACTACAGGGTTTTTTTTTTTATTGTTACTTTAAAAGGAACGTGAGAATAGTAACAGTGAGAATAGTAACAGAAAGAATTCACCAGAAGCTAAGTAAAGTTACCATCACCCCTTTACCCCACCCAGAACCCACTGTCATCAGTTTACAAAATTAGCACTTTGAAGTAAAATTAACTTAAATGAGAAAGGTAATGGTGCCTATGCCAAGACCATTTCTTACATGTTTTGCTATATAAATTGCCCAGAAAATAGTTGAGGAGGGTGTCAAGTTTGTTGTTCACTTAGTGCATTAGCTGGTGGAGGTTGGTTGTAACTTCTCCCTCTCAGGCAATTTTAAAAAAAGAAACAAATTTGCTTCTGTTATGAAATGAAATAAATCAAGAGTCATTCCTATTCTAGAAAAGGGTAAGCCAAAACTAGCCTCTAGGGCTTTAATGAATATGATCCCTATAGATAACTCTCCCTTCAACCCTCCCCCCCCAAAAAAAAAAAAACCTTGTATAAATTATTTTATTTATTATTGTAATTAGGTATTCACAATCAAAGTTGTCTTTTCACCGTCTGTGTTTTGTTAACGTGAGGTTAAACTGTAGTAATAAGCAAAAGTTGGTTGCTTAGGGAACAATAATTGTATATTCAGTTTAACAAAAATAAAAGATTATTTGTCTTAAAATATAAGATTGATTGTTACATAGCCTTTCGCCATGCAATTATAACATTATAAAAATTTTTCATTTCAAAAGTGAAAATTACTTGTGCTCTTGGAATATTTAAGTGCAGCATCAGCTCCTTAAAGAAAAAGCAAAGTGATAATGCCTCCCCTGAAAAAGGGAATTGAGATTTACAATTAACATGAAAATCATGTATTAGACTTATGTGGGAGATTGTTTGGCATACCTTATCCAGCTCACATTCAGTCCTAATATATCATGTTGAAGAGATCTGATAAATATTTCTCCTTGGCAGCCTCACTTGCCCACATCATGGAAGTACAGGTTTGCACATATACATAACATGATGATAGAAAATAAGATATAGTAAATTAGGTTTCTGAATTTCGGTTCTAAGTCTCCTTGTCGGTACCAGTAGATCTAAAAGAAAAAGCAAATAAAAGTTTAAGTAATAGCCCCTCAGAAGTATTTCAAAATTTTAAATTTAAATACAACTAATTTTTCTGCTATGACCAATTTCGCCATACATGTTTTTCCCCTTAAATGAGGCAGCCTTTATATTCCTGAGACTAATACAGCCAGAAATTCTTACTCTTAATAACTTAAGTAATCAACTGAATTTTCACACCCAAGATCATATTTATTCTTCCTTTCTCAATTAACTTCTTTGTGTCTAAACTTGTAGAATCCACAAATTCATTGAAAAAACAATGGAAGAATATCTACCTTCTAAGCTTATTTTAGATGTATTTGAGTAAAAGGTTCATTTCTTTCAGGTATAAGAAGGAAGTTAATCAACTGTTACATCACCATACAAAACAATATGCTTACATAATGCATATATTTGGTTCAAATCAGATCACTGTTGGGTCACATCTGGCAGTGGGGCTAAGGGTGGAATCCAGAGGATCCCAAAGTGGGATAAGCCCATTCTTTCTCAGGTGATAGGACTACAGCAGAATCAGAAGCTTGGTGGTACCCCTTAGTTTAATTTAACTCAAATAAGCACATTACTATTACTATGTAAACCCTACATGAGGCAAAACAGTTTTTCCTAAGGGTTTACTGTTTTTGTTTCTGCCTTTCTTTGAGAGAAATGAAAGAACTAATAAATCAGCTGAACACTTGGCAAATACTCAAATGAGGATTCACCACCATCTTAACTTATTTACCAGTAAAGAAAAATTTTTATAAGTATAATCAAATAGCTTATATAAGGATATAACTGCAGTTTGAGGTTCCACAGGAAATCTTGCTATTAATTACTTTCACTTTGGAAAATAAGAGCAAAGACTAGCTCTTATCTTTTCTCTTAAGAAAACAGCATGTCTCAATGTCTACTGATCCCTGTATGTGGTCTCCAAGGGAAACTATGGAGTAGGTAAAACTATAAACGCTATGGAATGTTTGACACAGTCTTCTTCCATTTTTCAACTGTCAATGGAATAATTTTTCTGAACATTTACAACTTTAGGATTGAGGATGAGGGTGTGACAGGAACTCAAATATATTTTTTTTCTATTTCAAAAGCCCAGCAATTAATATTGGGGAAGAGGTAATTACAGAAAGACCCAGGACTAGTAACTACTCTTAAGCACCCCTCAGCCCTCAAGATACTCCACTTAAATTCTAAGTAGTACTCACAAGTATGCAGGCAGTAATACTAATCAAAGAGATGCAGACAGCAAAAAATATATTGAGTGGTTTTGGAGGTAGTTGAGGGAAAACGAAAGCACTGATCAGCGTTACCTGTATAAAGAGAAATGATGTCAGGACTTCATGAGCAATTCTAAGGCAATTAGCTTATAGTCTAGGCAATATATTACAAAATGCTTCATTAATTATAAAATGATAGATCTAAAACAAGATTTGCCTTCTGGAATGTTAACATAACAAAAGTTGTAAGAATGTTCAGTTGTAGGTTATACTTTTCCATCCTTTCATACTTTAAGAAAAAAGGTCAAAAAATCATAGTAGAGTGAAATTAACCTCAAAATAACCTCTTGCCAACAGATTAAAAATCATTTAAGCCTCATTACCAGGATTGTTCATTATGTTAGGAAAAGTTTAACTATTTTCTTATTTTGAATACTCCAACTAGAAAAACCAAACTTGTTTTGCTTAACATAATGGGAAATACTGAGAAACTGGGCTTTGATATCCTGTAGTTCTCTTTCTACCATAGAATACCCATTCTTTTCGTTAACTCACTGAAACAAATTTTGCTAAAATTCTTTTAATCAGGTCCACCACAGAATTGTCATTCTTGGAACATATAGCTTGGTTTTTATTTCACTGTAACAGCATTAAGCTATATAATTCAAGATGAAAAGCTACTATTTGCTGACCAAGTAAGCTTTTAAACCAGAGGATAATGAATCTGGCTTAGGAACAAAGTTAACTTAAGGGACAAAATTAACTTAAGGTACTTGCAGACATTAGGTGGACTATAACAAAAGAGAGTTGCTGGTAACCACTGACATGTTTACAAATGTATCAGGAAACAAACCTGACAAACCTAGTGCTTATTTCATATATTAAATTATGGGTGGTGAAGGAGTGTGGAAGTCAGTTTAGCAACTACAATTTTGTTTCAATGTTAATATGGCATCTAAAGTGTTAATATAATGAACCAATACATCACATGCTGATATACTAGCCCGTACAGATGGTGGTGTTTTATTGATTTTTTGGGGGGTGTTGGGGAGAAATAACAACCACAATAAAGTTTTCAAAGCTTTGGATAAAAGCCTGAGTAAGATACAAAATATACTTACTAGAATCAATAAGGATGTTAAACCACCAACAACTAAATTGATGATTCGATCCTGAAAGAAAGGAAAATCACTTGTGAGCCACATGGTGAAAACGTGACACTTCCAGAGTGTAGTCCTAGGCTTTGGGGTTATTTAGAATGAAGAAAAAAGATCCTGCCTTTCTTTGATCTTGACACCAACCACCAGACAAAGCAAACAATGCTACCGGAGACAGGGACAACTAACTGGAGGTTCTTGAAGAGACAGAACATTTTTTACTCGTGATTAGGGAGGGATACATGGAGAGAGGAAACTCACAACCATAAGTGTGCTGATCAGAAGCCTGTGAGCAGAAGCAAAGGAACCCCCATTCCTACGATGGCCAGCCAAGAGGCTTGGTGAAAAGTCTCAGGAATTGGAATGTAGATGATGTCAAGTGTCATCATGAGTTTAGACAATTTGTGACAATGTAATCTAGAAGCAGATGGTACTGCCAAGAAGGGATCACAAAATGCCAAGGGTGGGAACAATCTTAGACCATCTAGTCAAGTGGATTTCTGACATAATAAAAATCTCCAAAGTATAAAAATAGTTAACTGATTCAATGGGGCCCTAGGATCCTACCCAGTGAACTGCTTGTCATTCCCACCCCCACCCCACCAATTTTACAGAATGTCTGAAAAATTCCAATCTAGTCCTAATATTCTAAGGTTAAGATCTGGGTTTATAGGTGCTTACAGAATAAGGCCACAGGAGTTGAAGACCTAATCAGAAACACTAAAGCCGTGTTCACACCAAGTATTCTTATTTCTGTGAGTCAAAGATGAGTCTTAACATGAATCTGGTTATAAAGGTTTTTTTTCTCAGTAAATCTCAGCAAGGACAGCAGAGTATGGAATGTAAGCAGCCAAGCAACTAAGGCCCCAAAATGGGAAGGATACTAGAACAAACACAGGGTGGCACTGAACACTCATTTCCAAGTTACCTGCTTTTAAAGACAAAAGTCACAAAGAAATTTTAGAAGCAGACAAAGCTGGGACAAAAAGTGAAAGAAGTTCAAGCATAATGTCAGATGTGCCTGATCTCCCACAAACTACAATTCAACAGTTATACAGGACAAAGGAAACAACTTCAGCCACACCCTTACTAAATTTGGAGGACTTGGATCTTACTACTACTTAGTAAGGAAGCTTACACAGCGTACAGTAGTCTGAAATTAAGATCAACTATTAAGAAAGAGACCCAGGGCAAGTCACTTATTCACACATGATAAATGTGTCTATTTAAAATATGTATATAAGACAAGCTATGGGAGCCCCATTATTTCTATTTAGGAAAAATTCTGGTCTATTCTGAGAAATCAAGACAATGTGCTCCCATCCATAAGCTCCAGGAAATTGCAAAAGTTTAAAAAGGTTACTGTACGTCTCCTAAAAGGAAGAAGCCAGTGAAAATGTTCAAGTGAGAAGTAGCAAAAAAAAACCTAACAGCAAAGCAAGTGTGCCATCCAAAGTCAAAGGTGGGGGCTGGAGGTGTGGGGGTGGGGGATAATAATAGTGAAATGATAGTAACTTTGCCAAGAGCTTTAATGAATCTCCTAAAAACTCCTGGAATTACAAACCACCACACATAATGCAAAAACAGGCTCAAGGAAACAGAACTTGCCCATGGTCTCAATACCAATAAAAGAAGAAAGAAACTTCTGCAACTTGTTCTCCTTGGAAGAGCAACCTAAAATGCTACTGCTGGACTAGACACAAAAATAATATAAATGGTAGATTTCAAAAACTATTTGCAAAACACTACATTAAAGTGTATTTCAGAAGTGAAGGTTTCTTGGGATTTTCTCTATTGTTGAACTTAGCCTTGCAAGCATGATTGTAATCATTCTAGTGGGAAAAACTGCTAAAGTTATATACTTCTCTGGCCCAGTCTGCCTTCTAGAGAGTTCCCCTGAACACAATTCCAAAATATATTTGTGACTACCAGTTATTCTATTATGAGATAGTCCTCTCTGGAGCTCCCAAGAAGAGATGAACTCTTTAGAATATGACAGGTTTTCATTCAAGAGAAGGTCTTGGCTTTCAGGCCATCTATCAAAAAAACCATGAATCTAGGCTAAAGAAACAAGCTAAGTTAACCTTGGAAGTCTCCCCATTCTTAGGCTCCTTATTCTCAATTCTGGCAACACAAAAATACGGGTTTGTGGCCCTAGTCAGCAGAGGCTCAGCTGAGCCTGCAAAAAGTGCAAAAGCCTTGGAGGCAGACCTACAAAATCTGATTCTCAGGTGACCTGTATGCACATCTAAATTAACTCAAGTTAATTTAGTTAACTCAAAATTGCGATCTAAACTCAAAAGTTTAGAATCGACTGTACCATTCTGAATACTGATTAAGTTCAGAGTGAAGACTCTTCCCGGCCCACAGATTTTTCAGGCTTTAGCAGCTCTCTCACATCCCAATCTCTAAAGATAGAACAATAATATGCTCCAAATCAACTACCAAGGAGGAAAAATAAAGCATTTAAACTTTGATGTTTATGGAATGAGCTGAATCGATGTTATTTCCACTTCTACAGCTAGTCTCTGTTATCTCAAAGAAAATAGCTTTGTCTCCTTCCTCATTTTATTACCCTACTTCTGGGTAGCAAATTCTTTCCCAGAGTGTTCAACCCTGTACTGTTGGATTACTTTTACTCCCAAGGAAGGGTAACAGGGTCGGAATCATACTTGATCCTCACCAGCAGAGAGAACAGTACTGGGAACTAGGGAATCCTTCCAAAGAAATATTCAGTAACTATGTGAAAAAGTTTTAACCCACATGCTTTGTGTTGTGTGTTCATACACCATATACATACCAACATTTTTTTTTAAAGAACCAACATGTGACATACACAGTACAGTTTTGAGAGGGATTTCTAAGTCTGACCATTAGTTCTGGGGTCTGCCTTTATTCAGCACAGGGGCAACCTGGTAACCTGAACACATTAAAGAAGTGGCCAAGCAGCAGGTGGTGGATCTTGGCCTACCATAGTGCCCCACATATATTACATGCTCAACTTAATTGAAAGAACAAGTCAACCGGTCCTCCCTGGTGGCATAGTAGGTTAAAAGTGCAGCACTGCAATCTAGCAGCAGCTGCTTCGGTGAGAGTTCGATCCCCAGCCCGGAGGTGACCCAAAGCAGCAGCCTCACCCGCTGCCCCCACAGCAGTATACTTCCTCTACCTGTTTCTGCTCCCTACTCTGGCTGTGAATCCTCTCACTGCCCCTGCACCTCTGGCTTATACCACAGTTCTGTATGCAAAAAAATATGTATTTTTTTTTTTAAAGAACAAGCTAACTGGATTCACTACAGATACTACAGATATATGTTTCAATTTGAATAATCATAAAGTGTGAATTAGTTTTATTTAAGATATCATATTAAAAAATAGAGGAGGGGAAGACACAAATAAGCAAGTACAAAAACAGACTCCAGACGTGTACAAAATCTCACAAAGGTTTCTGTCTCTTAGTCATTAAATGGGGCTTTTTTAAAAGGGTGAGCCTTACTGGTGATTTGGTGATGGGAAACCCGCGGGGATTACAATCGAGATGGAAAAAAAAAATGTGCAAAATGATGTAAAAATAAACTTTTGTAATAATTAAAAAAAAAGGGGGTGAGCCTTTACATTTCTTTAAAACACAGAAGTGGCAAGAATGAAGAGGCAGCTGCTCCTAAGACCAGCAGCACTCTGTGGCCTCTGTCTCTCTGGAAAGTGATTTGACACTCCTCAGGTTCCCAATCCTACTTAAAGCAAATAGCAGCCTTATTTTAAAAAAAGAAAGAAAAAAAAGCCAAGAAACAAAGGAAAATTCATCCTCCCTGTTTCTGTTCCTTCAGGCTGAATGTACTGAAATGTGACCTACTTCTCTGCCAGTTCTGCATCCATTCCCTGATTTGATTAATTATATCTGTCCTCATCCTACCTCTCTCCTGAAACCCATGTCTGGACCCCAAATCTCAATTCCTTTCAGTATCAGAAGAGTCTTCCATGCATCTTGCTTCCCACTTTTATATTAAGCATTTGATTCCCCCTCTTATATGATTCTTGTTATGAAGAAAATCTAACAGGACAGGAAGAATGACCAGGGTGGAGATGGGTGGCTATTTTTAAATACGAGTTCCAGGAATCCCCTCAAAAGGTGGGCCATTTGAGCAGGGCCTTTATAAGAAAAAGGAATGCTGTACAAGGATGTGGCTGAAGGGTACTGAAAACCAGCCAATGCAGAGAATACAAAAGGCCTATGGCAGGAGTAAACTGGGAACTAGAAGAATAAAGAGAATACCAGGATGGCTGATGCCTAATAGGAAAGGGGAAGAACAGGATTTACTTAATCCCCCCCTAACTTCCCTGCAGTATATGTATGCTCCATGAGAAAAGACATATATATATATATATATATACACACACACACACACACATACATACATATATATATACTCCAGCAATAAGATATATACTCCAGCAAATTTCCTGTGATGAATTATGCACTTGATTAGCAATTGAATAAAAGAATACATACATGCAATTATAACCTAAGTTACAGAATATATGCCTAAATTATAGAGAATATAAAACCTTAAAGAATACACACACACGGGCCCTCGCTGGTGGCGCAGCGGGTTAAAGCACAGCGCTGAGAATCTAAAGCCGTTTCCGCATGAGTTCGATTCCTGCCTGCCCCGGAGGTGACCACATGGCGTGGCAGACCTCTCCTGACCCGCCCGCTGCTCCCCTCAGCAGTGTACTTCATCTGCCTATTCTGCTCCCCACTCTGTCTCTGGTGAAGCCTCTCGCCGCCCCTGAACCTCTGGCCTGTACCCCAGTTCTGTATGCACAAATAAATCTTTAAAAAAAAAAGAATACACACACACTAATAACCCAGGCTCTACAGAAAATTATATTCCTTAACACAGCAATTGGAGGTCTTTATCCAGCCCAACCTTTCTGTAGATCAGTCCTTCCAAGTTCTAGAGTCCAGTCATAATGAAACAGTTCCCTCACCAATACCTGTACTTTTCCTGCAC